AGCCTATTTTAACGATTTTCTCCTATTGAAACGTGGAAATCTCATTCGTGAACGCTGGGAAGTTAGCCGAAGAACGAACTATTGGAAATAATCCCGATTTTCTGCCGGTGAAAGAGGCAAACACGGGGCGCGTCGGTTTAATTCCGCTTCGGTGTACTTCGTACTTCCAGAAAGGGTGGCTTCGAATTATGAACGGAAACAAAGAGATTTAAACTACGAAGTTGCGAGCGGCGATCGATTGGGCATGAAACGAGGCAAAGTTTGCGGATCCGAAGGCCTCACCCGATTTGAATGTGTACACTAGAAATGATGTTGACCGTACGACCAGGGAGAACTAAGGGGTTCATTATTCCTTTTGGACAAGTCAGCACTTGGCCTTTCCTTCTTTATAATTCTGTACCGATACTTTACAGAGTATGTTGCCTATTCAGTTGAATCTTCTATATCTGAAACAATTTTTAAGTGTACACTGTTGCTCGAAAGTATTGTATCTGATCACTTGCTATGCACGTTTCATAAGAAAAGAAAATAGAGCAAAGTAGACCATAAATGATTAAATCTTACCTGCATCAAATTATTACGCCTCCACCTTTTTGTATGTTCGTGCTAGTGATTTTAAATCGCATATACATAGGCTCTTTTAATAAATAAAAATTAATTACAAGAAATCAGATCAAAGTACTCAAACCCATTAGTCACAAAGACAGCCGAACGCAAAACATTCTCTAAGCTAAAATCTCTGCACTAAAAAAAAATTGGTTTCGAATCGATATTTATGAAAACTCAAAATCTATATTCACTCTTCTTAGAGAACATCTTCTCATTCTTTTCTATTTTAAAAATAGCAGAGTATGTCGAAGACGGAGGTTGGATATTAGTGCAGTAACACAGCCTTTTAATTTTCCAAAAATAAATATCAAGTTGCTAAATGTAGGGTCTTCCTTGATACGCCAAGTCCTCGAAGGATCCCTACCGAATTTCCGATAGCGGCAAAAAGAAGCTAAAGCTTTTCCTTGAGAATGAAAAGCATCGACTCGGAGGAATAATTCGGCGAGCCCGACGCGAATTCTCTCTTCTCCCTTTACAAGTTACAAATCCGGCCGCGGTAAGCCGCTTGGTAATCTTCTGATATCGTTTAACGGCATATTTCGCAAAATATACGGGTCCTCGAGCCCCGCGAAGGGCATTTCGTTGGCAAGGTAGAGGTACGGGCAGAGCAAATGACACCGGGAGGGATGAATTCTCCCGTTGAATGAGGAGGGTGGCTGGTACAGGCTGGTGTGAGGGGTTGGAGATCTCTCCGGGTTGTCAGGCGGCGGATGATTGCATGCCTGCGGCGGCGCTTCGCGAGGCACCGAGCACCGCGTACATAATATATATCACTTATCGAGTGGTCACCTACGTTTTAGGGGTTCCTCACAACGTATCGCGACGTTCTCACCCTTGTATTCGCAATCGATAAAATTGTGACGGTGAAATAAATTATTGTAGCGTCGGTTTGCTAGAAGAGCGACCCAACTAACAGAATTAAACTTTTCAGGAAATTAATTGGAAATTTTCCGTGATAGGGAATTAATGAAATTATTAATTACTATTGAAGAAAGTAAAATTTTAAAGGTGATATAAGTACACAAGATATGTTGAGCACATTAATCTAGAATACACTAAAATAAAAACCTTAAAATTACAGTTTATAATTTTGCTGTCTGCCTGCGTTTTCTACTGCCATCCTACAAATCTACTTTCCCTAAAATACCAAGAAATTATCCTCCATTTGAATACGACTTCTCGCCAAGATCCGAAGCGTCAATCTCGAACCGTTTCGAATACGTCTGTAGAATTGCATCGCTCGAAAAATACCCATGCAATTCCCTTCATTCATCGAAGTGCCAAACATCGAGCGAGACAGGCCCCTTTCGTGTACTAGATTCATCCCCGTTGATTATCTTCGTGAACTACCGCTAATTTCCGAGAAAGGTAGAGCCACCAAGGGAAAGCCTCTCGCAACGAGCACATATACTCGCGCGTTTCTCCGTATGACGGCCACGTGGGGGGGGGGGGGGGGGTGAAGACGAAAACCCCGTGTGGAGTCTCCTTAACGTGAGGAAGCTCTGCCACTAATTGAATCTCCTCTCTTACTCGCGTCTGGAGCCTCAGCAACCGCTGGGAACCAGAGCACCCGTCCTGCATTAAGCACCCCCGACACCCTGGGCACCCTCATCCCCATCGAGCGGTCTGGTCCGCCCCTGGCTGCTTTTCTCTTTCGATATGTACCTCTGTCTCCCACCACTTCTCTCTCGCTCTCTCATTTTCTCTCTCTGTTCGTCTTACTCTTTACCTTCCTTTAAATGTGCTCTGTCTCTCTTTGCCTTTCTTGTTCATTCCCTTCGCGTTTTTCTCTTATTTACATATATCTCGCTACTGACTCAAATGTCCCTACCTTTTTATTCTTGCCCAGTGTCTTATTCCTGCACCTGTGGTTTACGTAATTCTGTGATATCTCAAACGTGTACCGATACGCATAAAGGCTGATGTACCGAAAGAAAGATGAAACTATTTAGGGAAAAATTGGTATTTCTATTCCTGAGAGGTGTTGATAATAATATTAATAGTAAATATATGTTACACGGGTGACTAAACGAGAATTGAGGTTTTAAAAATAAAGGAAAGATATTATTGAATTTAATTGTAGTACTATAAGTTGGTGTAACTTTTCCCCAAAGTCAGAAAATAATCGTTTTTGATTTTGCAGCTGTTTCGCGGGTAGTTTTACGTGAAGTACCTTTTCACGTAAAAATCAACTTAATTTAACAATTTGCAGAGCTGCAGAATCGAAAGTGATCATTTTCTGACTTTGAGATAGTTAGAATTACGTTAATGAGCATATATTTATGTAGCTATATTTAGCATAAAACATGTAAAATGTATACGACACATATGTGAACAATATGCAATAAAAGAAAATAATATTTTAAAAATATTCGCATTTTTTTAAACACTTTCCCATTCTTTTGACATTGTAAGCATTATTACATAATATTTTCTGACCAGAAGCTAGGTTTGATGTATAATGAAAATTCTGAAATGGGTCAAAAGTGGCCCGGTATTGGCCTGCCACCGCTTCGCTGTTATCTTTCGGCAGTTTAGGGGTGAAAAATGCCATTTAGACAGTTACATGAATTGTATCACTGACTGTCGTTTAATTGCGATTCGTTTATTTGTAATTTCGAAAGCAACAGGGTGTTCATGACATCCTGTACAAGAAAAACGATAAAATTTACAGCTAGTAGATGTTAATTACCATTTGGCCTGTCATCGGCGACATAATGTAATGCCGCATCGAAAGGAGATTACGAGTTTTCGATCGATTAATTAATTAAATGGAAATGGCCGGCAACGCTTACCGAAGACCGATGAAAAGTTTCAGTGACAGAAACACCGTCTACATTTTCTGGATAAACGAGGGACGAATCGAAAGCCACCTTTGACATTTTTTAGATTGTCTGAGAGAAATAGCAAATGATTAAAAATGTCTATTAAAATATTATAGAGTGTTAGTCTGAACTTTTTAAGGGTTAATATGATAAAATGAACTTTTTAGACCTTCCTCATTTATAATAAACAACTGGTCTCACAAAGAACTCTTCGAGTATCACTAATAATATAGATTTAACAAAATATTAAACTTAGGACGAAAATTTCTGTGTAGTAAAGTGAAAAGTACTCTGTTGCACAAATGGTGCTCATGATATTAAAGAAATTTGAATAAAACGAAAATGTTGAATTTTCAATTTCAATTTCTGACAGCTTCAAAAAATTATATAATAAAATAATAGTAAAGTTTGACACAGCCATTATATTTTTTTGCATGTAATTAAATTCATCGAAATAATAAATTTCTATTTCACGTTTCTTTTCCAGAGTTTCTCCATAAAATATGAATTTGAAGTAATATCCTCAGTCTACTTAAATGAACGATTAATAAAATTAGAAATTATGGATTAATTGACGTAAGACGAGAAAAGTGAGCATTAGTCAAGAAGATTTTATTTTCTACCGCATCTATTTGTATTGTGTCTGTGACAAGAAAATTTATAATTTTCTTTTTCATAAGTAAAGTTTCAAGTAGTAGTGGATATAATGTCATATGTGTGTCATAACATGTATATCCACGGAAAGTGCGATGTAACGATCAAGTAAGAGATCACGAAAAAGTGAAACGTGGCATGATCCAGCAGAATCATTATTAATACTGCATCATTCGTGGTGCTCCTGTTGAAGTCTCCCACATAGTCGATTAATAGAGACACTTACGTTATGTGGCAAAGCAATTTAGATCGGCCTCAATTTGAGTTAAGAATTGAATGAAAAAAGTGTAGAATAAAGATTGATATACTTGATTTAAATTCCTACAAATCAATGTTAGTGTAATTTATCGTGTAGCAATAACAAACTTAAATAATTATTATGTTTTACTCAACTCCATCAGTTATTTTTCTATCAATTTTCAGTTGTTTCTTGATATGTTTCTATAAATTAAATTAAATGTATCCTCGTACCAAATCAAGTGTGAAACCAACGTCAAACAGACGTACTTCGTTGTTTCATTGGGCCTAGAGTTCGTTTGTTTAGGAGGGTTTGTCTGGCCAATGGCTAAAGTCACTTTCTCTGAGGTGTATTTGTGGTTGAGTAACCTTTGACCAATGAAATCATAGAAAATGTAATTGGATGAGTTTGCTTTGTAATTCACATAATTTATTATATAATGTAGTAAATATTGAATAAAATTTCATTTTATCTGGAACCTGATAGAGTAAATAGATTTATATTTAATTCCAGTTTTGGGATTTCTATATGATGGATAACTATCATACCTAATTTGAAAAGGTTTTCTCTAACCAACGCGACGGTAACACTTTCTTCACTAGGCACTAATTCGTCTTTAACATAAAGATCGACTACCAACAGATGATAACATTCGTGTAATTGGTATTACTTACCGTCTCTATTCATTTTAGCTTTGAAACACATAGCAAGACGACAAGCTCGGCATTGGTTCCTCAGTTTCTTATTGATGGGACAGCGCCCTTTCAGAGCACCCTGCTCCTTGCAGACGTATTTTCGATTTTCGTGGATGCTTCTCTTGAAAAATCCTGAACAACCTGAAAATCAGAATAATATTGTATTCGAATTATATAGGACATTTTTAAAAAATATTTTTGTACATTGAATCGTTCCTCAAAGTTTGGCACAATTATTATAGCACATTGCATTGACCAATGTATAATTTCCATTCGCGTTTACTCAATTTAAACGATGTATAATACACCATAAATGAATTTTAATATTTCTCCGACGGGCAAACAGTACAGCTGAGACTATTCATCTACCTCGAAAAGCTGATTACAAATTATTGTTTAATTCAAATACAGGACGTGATAGTGGAATGTGACGATTTTCAAAGCATATTTGCGCTTAACAACATTGAATGGTGGAGTAAGTGTCTTTTGCTAAGTGACCATTGAGATGTGCAATTTTATTTGTGTGTTTAGTGAGTGCAATATAATAAATTGTTCGTTGGTGGAACAAGTATTGATTGTAACTGCATTTATTGAATGCCAAAGTGCAATAGAGTTCGAAATCTTCGAAGAAAATTTAGGCGTATCTACAATGTTGCAACCTATGGAAGAATTTCTTCCTGTAACACTATTTAAAGTTGACAAAAATTTAATAGCACCAGCAGCGTTGAAGATCAATTTTGAGGTAGTGAACGAAGAGTCCTCCCAGCACAAGAAATAACAAAAATTAGGGAAGCGATGAGCACCAAAGTCTTTTTTCACTTGAATAATGTAAGTTTTTAATAATAAGTAGACAGTGATAAATTGCGTGGTATCATTGGATTTCAAATTTAAATTGTTTCATTATCCATCAACTGAGTATCTTAGAATAGCGCTATGAAACCATAATATTCCATTGCTGCACCTTGTATAATTCGTTTTAAATTCGACTAATAAAGAATTCCAGTTTTTCATAAATGCACTTACCTTCTGTCAAACTATGCGGCTAGTTTATTTAAATAGAAATCTACTACATGCTCTTAAAAGGAAATTATAACAACTAAAAGTTTAATCAACGAATCTGTTATTATGATTTACTGTGATGTTGTCAGAGAACATCGATATATAAAGAAATTAGTAGTTACCGTCGCAACTGTAGGTGCCGTAGTGTTTTCCGGAGCTACGATCACCACATACAGTACACAGTATGTCGAGTAATCTGTCTCCTGCAACAGAAATTGACTTCAGAATTAGTCAGTTGACCGATGAAAGTATAAAATATATGCAAACACAAATAACACCATTGTTTGGAAGTATTGATTTGAAGATGTATCATTTTTCATATAAGGAACTTGTATGACTGAAAGAACAGTAGTATCAGTCGTAGGAAAATGAGAAGAATTTCAAACTTGTATCTTCAATAACTTAAACAATTTGTGACATTTGTAGTTACATTAGTTTTAAACCCGATACATAATACATACATTTGTTAGACAGTGAGAATTAAAGAAAGCGTTGCAGCAAACACATACGCAGTAGAAATGTCTTTCGATTGTCAGACACAGTAAATATATACAAGTATTATTGTTTCAAGACGTTGTTGCTAACAAACGTATAAAATGAAACTTATACACTGAAAGATGAAATCAAATTATCTGTGTCAAAAAATATTTTAGAATCTACTGGTACGTAACGATGACGTAAGTATAAATATCATAGTGAGTTCCAAATCAAAGAATTCAAAATAAGAAATGTAAATACTTTTTTTGGAAATCGTTCTTTCCATTACTTTTTGAGAAATTAATATAGTATAACAAATTCGTTGATTACCTGTGTTAAATAGTAATAAGAAATGGGCTGACATTTATCTGCGTCTGACCTTATAAAGGACTTACTACTTAAAGCGCATTCTACAAACACTAAGCATTTAAATAAAGTTACAGTACTTACAGACATTTTCCTTTTACATTCACAAAATGCATTGTGGTATGTTTTAACGAATCATAAACGTATTTATACAAATAATCGGCCTTTTTTACCACAACTAATGTTTTACTTTGTCGGTTGTTGTGAGGTCCAGAAATGTCAGACGAGACAAATGAGTAGTTATGACTATGAAGTTCAGTTTTGCTTTGCTTCGATATGTGATAAAACAAGATTACATAATAAAATATTACGACGGCGGGAAATAAAGGACCAATTATCATTCACATCTGTACAATGTTATTATAGTTCACATACACGCATGCAAATAATGTTGATTGTAATTCATTTTGATTTCTATCATACTACAGAACCTCTGAAGCAATTTCACATATTTTGCTATTATATCGTGAACAATAATACCTAATCTTTTACTGTTTGCCAATCGAATATTTCCAAATTACATTTTTTATTCGTCCCTCAGATAAAAAAGAATTACAGACGTTATTAATCCAGTCGGCTGTGATCTCGAAACACTCCCCGTACAGGGAAAACAGGGAACTTAAAAACGTGAAAAGCTGGCAGAAGGAGGTGTCCGTTTAAGAAAGCGAGGCGGACCGCAAGAAGAACCCGAGCGTTAATCTGTTCTCCCCCTTTTCGGAGGAACCCTAATCGCCCTAATGATCCGCGGCAAGAAAAACACGGCCATGCCTAAGCCAACCAAAGCTTCCGTTTCTGGCCTGGGGAACCAACCACCTTCTTCTCACACCCAAAAACCTACCAACCTAACCCGATCAGACGAGTTACTTCAACCCCAACAGATTACCTCCTTCGAACGTTTCTGCTTATACCTGTACACACCACTGTCTTATATCCTGCATTGTGATCAAGTACCAGACGGTTTCAATAGCTAACGAAAACACCAAATATTCACTTAGTTAATACATTCGCGTTTAAGACCGACTCTGACTGGTCGTCCTATTAAACAGGTAACTGATATTTCTGCGTTCTAAGGAAAAGAATTCTAAGGGAAAGATAGAATACACTGTGTGGTATAACTGTAAAACCACAAGTCTAATTAAACGTGTTACTGTCGAACAATTCAGTATAAAACATCGTCACATCAAAACAGTCCAGTTTCATAAATGAATAAAAATCAAAAACAATAATAAATACACCATTTATCAAACACCTAGCACGTCCCGCACATCATCGAAATAGAATAAAAAAAAATTCACAAAATCAAGGAGAAAACTAAGCAAAACGAAATCATCAATTTAAGCATATTCATGACACACAGCAGGGTGATCGTCTGATTAGAACCACATTACAAGAAACATGTTTCTTTGTCTTCGCACAGGAATAAACTCACAATATCAAGGTTTTTACACTGGACAATTTTTAATCTCCACTAGAAATACACAAAAAACTCAGCGTATATAATTACAAGAAATACAGTTAAAACCATATAAAACCATAAATATATGCAGATGCGTCGAATAACTCGATCACCCACTATAGTACAAGCGTCCAGACAGCAAACACTGGAAGTGACAGGCGAGTAACCACTAAACGTTGCCAAGACAAACAAAAAATCTAAGAATCGGTTGCAGACAAATAAATGATATTTAATGAAAAAAAAAAATACAAATGTTAATCACTGTATACTGAACACATGCCCGACAGGAAGTGTATGTGAGTGTGAGTGTGTGTGTGTATGTGTGCGCCCTGTATACACTCCTGCCGACAATATAAGCAAGAGACGCGCCTTATCGAACTGACCTGCGCCCATCCTTCGCGGCTGATCAAAAGTCGAGCATCCCCAGACGGACAGTCGGTTCGGTGGTCGTTCCGATACGACGCCGAGGGAGTCGCGCGAAGTCCCGAAGCGTTCTCCGTGACGGGGTGGCTTCGAGCCTCGGCGTAGCTACTCATCACGCCGGGGAAGGGCGTACCCGTGGTACCGCGGTGTTCATGTTGTCGACGGCGTCGGTGGCTGGCGTCGGTGTGCCACGGAGTTGTATGGCGCGTATCTCTGTCCTCTGCTGGCAGGGAAACGCGTGTATAGGAGCCGATGCCCCGACTGGCTGTCGGAATTACCCGTCTCCCCTGACCGTGGCCATACTACGCGCGGAATCACGGGGTCGTTCTTCAACACGCTCGACGTGCCACCCCAACAACGGGGGTGGATCGCCGGGGGGTGTGGGCGACGCCTCGCACACGTACGTGAGCCTCCTAAACGGCCGCGAGTACGTGTAGCCCATGACTTCGACGTCTAGCTAGCGATGGCGGCGAACGCCTCGTGTTCACAGTGGCCGATTATTGTTTTCATTGGTGTTCCAATGAATTGTTTGAAATGAAATGTTTTGATTGATTTCATTTCCGTCCAATTAACTGTAAATGCAAGTAGAGCGCAAGGGAAAACAGTCTATTTATTGTCAGACGTGTGGCTTATACGACGCAGTAATATTTTTCTGTAAATTTTGGTAGAATAATTTAAATATTATTCAATTGGCACAGAACAGTCGATTATATACATATTCTGGAAAAACAATAGTGGGTAACGGATAGTGAATTCGCTTTCGAAACTATTCCATATCAGAATTAATAATAGACTTGAAAACTCATTACCAGATCAAGTCGCCATCGCAAATGCTGATCCAAAGAATACCTGATTCCGTGAAGGAAAAATTATTCTTCGATTGTGTTCCCTCGCATTGCATAAAAAGTAAAAGATCTTAGAAATACCTGGGATCATTTGTTCGATTTGAACAAGCGGTTTAAGCCATCGCTAGGTACAGCTTTAGTCAGGCAATCGCACGATGTACACTACTTCTTCTGTGTGGCTGATACGTTGGCCTAGAAGAGTAGGGTAGATAAAGAGGGGTCAGAGGAAGGTGACAGCGAGATAGGTGGGGAATTCCAACGGGCGACTAGACGGCCCGGGGACTTGCTGGCTGAGTGGCTGATGCGACTATAGTGGGGTAGTGCTAGTTAGCCACGGGAAATGTGGGGGCGGCTCCGAAGGCCACGTTGTCAGACGAGCGTTACCACCGTGTCATTGGTCGACTCCACCCCTGAGACGGCACAGGGGTGCAGATCTATGTAGCAAGGGGTGATGGGCGTTTCCAGCACGCCCATTCGACGACAGGAACGAGCCACGATCACAACGACCAACCAATGCCTCCAGATTAGACCACCGTCGTAGGTGGCTGTTAGACGAGTGATGCTATTTGTCGATGAAATGCTGTGTCATCATTTCTTCTCGTCAGCAGGGTGGGGGAATAGAAATCGACATGATGGTGCCAGTTGCGGTTTCTGCAGGAAAGAAGGAATGGTTAACTGTCAATACGAAGGTGCGATACATTCCCGTTTAAACACTAAAACGTTGCGCTTGGATGACTACGTGACTTCTATTTTGAGCTTTATATATAGTTCTGGTTTAATTTATAATAGAAAATATGTGTTATACTCATTGATATATTTTATATAAATGATGAATATGTAACGACTAATTGGTAACTTATTCAGTTAATATACATACCTTTTATGGAACTTTCATTAGATTTCATATTTCTAAAAATATTAATTCTTTTCTATGTTTTTTTTTTGTTACAAATTGTACACTGTCTAAAATATATAATTTATGATCATAAAAGTCTTGTAAATTAATAGCAATAGATTAATAATAGCCGAATATATGGACCTATTATATATGGACTATATATGGACCTATATATGATATTGTATATAGAAATCAATTCATATTTCGTGAATCAATGCTGCAGCCGTATCTACAAGCGCGAGTATCCTGCACAAAATTACTGCACAAACAGTGGCAAGAATGGTTTGCTTCATAAAAGTAGTTCACATGATTAGTGCTGTCATCCGTGACAAAATAGTCAAACTATTAACTAAACTATAATACCGACAGATGAGAGCATCATTGAGGCAGCTCCTCTTGCCCTCACCCCCAGAGTGCTGGCCCTCTATAACCCCGAATGCTGCAATAAACCAGCGCCTACCATATGACGTATTACCTAATCTCGATGGGAGCGAATTTACTTCACGTCTTGTCACTTGTGCGAGACGAATGACCCTTAGGCCGTCTTTGACTGCTCGCGTTCGGTTGATTCGGTTATGTTAGGGACATCGTTATTGGTGGTACGGTGGGTGGAGGTAGCTGTCCTCCCCACCTCACTTCAATTTCTAGTTTAACGAAATAGAATATTCAGTACCATATGACAGGCCGGTACGACCTTTTTTTTTTGCGTATACCTGCGGTTAGCTCAACGAGCACTGACCCACCTCTTCTTTCTTAAGTTTACACTAGTCTTACTATCGACTAACCTTGACTAACTAAACTAAATACAAGGTAAAGCGACAAATAAAACCAAGATGCCATCAGCCCCACGAAGGGACTGATGAAACCGAGGTTTTACACTAGTCTTACTATCGACTAACCTTGACTAACTAAACTAAATACAAGGTAAAGCGACAAATGAAACCAAGATGCCATCAGCCCCACGAAGGGACTGATGAAACCGAGGTCCATCGATCTCCCTATCCTGCCGCAGTGGACGTACGAAAGAGATAAATGGAATCAAAGTTCCATCGATCACCCCGTTTAGCTGTATCCCAAGCAATTATTCGAAACAAAAGAAGCGTATACTCTCAGAAAGAGAGAACGTTTCAGACACAGGACATTCTCAGAATGAGAGAACATTTCAGGGAGACGACACTCTCAGAAGGAGAGCATCAATTCTCTCTGATGCAAAGTGGCCAGTAACGCCGGGTGACTCGAACTGACGCGACCGTAAATAGAGAGAATAAGAGAGAGAACCCCTTGAAGCCTCTTGACCACTTGCCACCAATGGGCAGCAATCGGAGATTAAAACGCGGTAGGACCCCGAAGAGGTCCGTGGGCCTTGGACCGTCCTCGGTTAAGTATTGTCAGCCGACGATACTACCGAGCTAATAGCTACAAACTTGCAAATTATCTTCTAGTTATAGGATATCGTAATAATAAGTAAAACACAGATCTCTTAAGTATGCTGTAAATTTTATTTATTACTCCATTTCGTCAATAATGATTGCAGGGAGAACATATTTTCGATACATTTTTTCATTCTTCTCATTGTAAACCTCTTCTTCAGAGATTTGCGATGTCCGTTCACTATGAATCAGTTCCCATACAATTAACGCATTTCGTTGTCCATCTTAAAGACGTATACAACCCGGAAGGAGTTCCGCCTTAATTACACATGTTAGGAGAGCTGGATTATATTCGTATCCTACGTCACAGATTACGAGAATACATCCTAATACGGTGTCGCATTTCCAGTATTTTTGACAATCTCCTGGGTAGGGGTAAGTGTCTGCCTGAAATAATTATAGCATAATTATTATGTTGTGTATTAAAGCATACTACTATGAGTCACACAGGTGCCAACAAGTAACAAATTGCTTGAACACTTGTTATTGAATATATAAATAATAGGTTCTACATGTGTGTACTAACGAGTACTTTCTTCAATTACAAACGCTATAAAATACACTTTCAGATTGAAATATTAATTCTATTTATATCATAACGAACACATGAAAGTCCTTACCTCTGCTGATTCACAGAAGAAAGCTGCGATGCACAAAACTGCACAGAACAAAAATACGGAGAGCTTCATAGTGAATGTTTGTTGTTTCGTTTGTAACTTTCTTCTTTACGGAAGAAATGGAGTTTATATACGAATCGTCTAAGTGAAAACAGGGCACGTGACTTAATATGATATCTGGAAACAAATATTTTTTTACTGACTTCCAGTTGTATTTTTATATTTGCAATGAACTTAACACGTTAAGCGACGAGCTGAGTTCGTTGCCTTTTCCTTCCACTCTACATATATATACATATAATACCACTTATCATGATGATATCGCAAAAGGTTACAAATTACACCACTAATTACCCAAAAGAGTGTACCAGTATCTTAAGTCAACAGTTTTGCAAGAAATATTGCGATGACAATACGAAATGATTTCGAAAGACATGTGCTAGATGTTGAATTACGAAAATGACAACATTTTTTGATAATTCCGATGGAATATCCCCATCCCTATTTTCTATATATTAACAAACTCCATTGAAATAACTATTGTATCAGTGTAATCAATATTACTAAAAAAGACAGAAGACAGACACCATTCGCGTTTAGGATTTTTTGCCTGAGGGAGGCCCAGATCCCCTTACTTTCGCCCATAACACTCCCCATCAGGCACATGCTTGTACTTTATACCGTGTACGTGGGTTCACAAAATAAAGTTACACATTTTCAATAATTATTTACATATTTATTTAATACTAAAACTAAGAATAGGAAGATACAAACATAATTCTTAAAAATAAAAAATATGCGAAAAGAAATTGCAAATTGATTAAAAGCAATAAGAGTATATTATGTACAGACACCTACAGTTAAAATTTATATAAGCTTCAATTTGCTGTTTTTTTCTACAAACATAATCTTGTTAATATTTAGAAAACAGGGATGGGGATATTCCATCGGAATTATCAAAAAATGTCATTTTCGTAATTCAACATCTAGCACGTGTCTTTCGAAATCGTTTCGTATTGTCATCACAATATTTCTTGCAAAACTGTTGACTTAAGATACTGGTACACTCTTCTGGATAATTAGTGATGTAATTTTTAACGTTTTGCGATATCATCATGATAAGTGGTATTATATGTATATGTATGTAGAGTAGAAGGAAGAGGCAACGAACTCAGCTCGTCGCTTAACGTGTTAAGTTCATTGCAAATATAAAAATACAACTGGAAGTCAGTAAAAAAATATTTGTTTCCAGATATCATATTAAGTCACGTGCCCTGTTTTCACTTAGACGATTCGTATATAAACTCCATTTCTTCCGTAAAGAAGAAAGTTACAAACGAAACAACAAACATTCACTATGAAGCTCTCCGTATTTTTGTTCTGTGCAGTTTTGTGCATCGCAGCTTTCTTCTGTGAATCAGCAGAGGTAAGGACTTTCATGTGTTCGTTATGATATAAATAGAATTAATATTTCAATCTGAAAGTGTATTTTATAGCGTTTGTAATTGAAGAAAGTACTCGTTAGTACACACATGTAGAACCTATTATTTATATATTCAATAACAAGTGTTCAAGCAATTTGTTACTTGTTGGCACCTGTGTGACTCATAGTAGTATGCTTTAATACACAACATAATAATTATGCTATAATTATTTCAGGCAGACACTTACCCCTACCCAGGAGATTGTCAAAAATACTGGAAATGCGACACCGTATTAGGATGTATTCTCGTAATCTGTGACGTAGGATACGAATATAATCCAGCTCTCCTAACATGTGTAATTAAGGCGGAACTCCTTCCGGGTTGTATACGTCTTTAAGATGGACAACGAAATGCGTTAATTGTATGGGAACTGATTCATATTGAACGGACATCGCAAATCTCTGAAGAAGAGGTTTACAATGAGAAGAATGAAAAAATGTATCGAAAATATTTTCTCCCTGCAATCATTGCATATGTATTGCATGCATATTGCATATCTATTGACGAAATGGAGTAAAAAATAAAATTTACAGCATACTTAAGAAATCTGTGTTTTGCTTATTATTACGATATCCTATAACTAGAAGATAATTTGCAAGTATTATTGCTCGTTTATTGAACAATTCCTGGAATTCTGGCCCTCTATAACCCCGAAGGCTGCAATAAACGACCGCCTACCATATGACGTATACCTAACCTCTATGCAACAACAATATTTTGTTTGCTCCTCGTTAATAAGTTGTTATTGAGATATCTAACTATTGATTATTATAAAACAAATCGAGAGCAATTTTTTGGTGCCATAATATTTGTGTAAAAAGGCCATTTACTACTTATTTTGTAAACGAGTTTTTGCTTTTTCTTTTGCGAATATCTTATTAATTATAAACGGTGCTGTGGCAGCAATTTCAGATTCGGAAGGATGAAATTGGGAGCAATTTTTTGAGATATAAATCGTTAAGATACGTTAACATTCGGCGCCAACTATTATCCGGTTTTGAAAACGGTGAATCTGCGGTGGGTGGTGACACTAAAATGGAAATGGGGCAGCGTCGCCTCAGAAAATGAAGCTGAAAAAATACATTGGATGAAGTGTCTACTCCTATACCTCGTCCGTGGTAGAAGCTAAATATATGAGTATCGCAATATCTGGCAATATCCAAAAACGACATTTTCCTTTATCACAATGTTTAGATTATTGCACGAATAAAATGAATGCGCATCAAAGAAACTAATTAATCACAGAAAGTGTGGCATCGAAACTGGTGATGAGACCAACCATTGAATATAACGTCACAAGAGAGAGCTCCCATTGTGGTTAATGACTTTTCATTTAAAAGTATCAGATGATCAAAGTAAAGAAGACTATTTATTTCGATTATTGTAAAATGAGATCTAATGGAAAAAACCATATAAGTAAACTATTAAACATTTGCAATTCAATAAAATTCGATCCGAAATTACCTGAAACACTATTAGCAAATACTAAACTTATGAATGCAAATTAATTATAAAATAAAGCTTTATTTCAGTCACTAAAATAAATTACACCGTCTTGATATTACGAAAGACTAATTATTTACTTACTACTTAAAAATATAGTTAACGTCATTTTCCGTAAACAGCTATTTTATTAAACAGACATATTTGTAAACTTAAGGGATAGAACAACAGAATACACGAATAAATTTCTTTGATTTAATACATTCTGATAATAATTATATAATACTAAATTTGTTATTAATATCAGAAAAAATTATGTCGATCACATATTAAAATGCATTTTAGTTTTCCTCTTACGGAACAAACATTGGGAGAACATGATTCTTTTTTTTATTTTCATATTTCTGATGCACATATTGTATATGAGCACTTAAAGGAAAAGGTTGGTAATATGTTATCTTGCATAATAGGAACTTAAAACGTATTCTGCATAAACGGATCGGGGCTGATCGAGGCTATGGATGATTTGTTTTGAAATCATCAAAAGAAAGCGCATCTCGTATGTGCATGTTTTCTTCATTAATTATGAACTAGTTCACATACGTCGCTGTCTGTCACAAACTATTTGCGTCATCTCCAGATATTTGTAGATGAGATTTTTATAAGTGTTTTTGATGCTGTTTTAATTTTGTTCAATTGCGATTTATATAAATCAAGGTGAGGATAGTGATGAACAACTGACAAGGAGAGACAAGAATGGCCATGTAAATTTTCTTTTGCAGTATAACGGAAAATACGTGGAATCGTTGTTCCCGCACAGATTTTCTTGATATGTGTAAATAACATACTTTCATTACATTGGAAAACACCGAAAAAAGTAATACAAATGTGCCCCAGTTATTTGTTACAGTTTTATTCGACTCATTTCGAATGTTTATACCTAAACACCACCGCGTATGGAAAAAATACTGTGGATTTCACCTTGAAATTACTGAAAAGAAAACACGATAAATTTTTGTCTTATTTGTAAATGATACCTTGGAAAAGCTATAATATCATAACATAGTATATTCTTTTAATACTTGGAATTGTCATAGAAAGAATATGGATAACAGCATAAAGAGACATATTTAGTATTGATCGTTATAAAGCATATGTGAACTTTGTTTGTCTTGTAATATAAAGTGATGTTAATATTACTTTAATATTTATTTAAGTTTTCTTATTTGTACAGAATAATTCCAAATTATAGAGATGACTCTTGTCGAGGGTGTTGGGGATGAAGTGACACATTTTTTTATTGTTGTGGTCACCTTCCTGATTGGCTGGCTTGCCTGGTGTTCCACAAGTATTGCAGATCAACCATTAATACGCACAGTACTTATCTTGCAACGTCGAACACGCACACGCATTGCTGAGCTCAGATCTAATCATCAAAATGTTAGCTCCTTCAATCGGCCTCCAAACTTGGAGATATCAGAGGAAGAATCAGCAGAACCTATTAGTGATGACAATAGTGACACCACACAAAGTTGTCCTGAACCATCTGTTGCAGGTGATATATCCTGTTTAAGAATATAGTAGAATATAATTTTCTGGAATCTCCTATTGAATGAATGAAAAACCATTGAAGTTAGTTGCATTCCTCTTATGGAATCCATTTTGGTCTTTAATAGATTCCAATAACTGGAGTTCTATTGTACTTCTATAAAGAGTGTAACGAAACTATCACAATTAATAACTATCTGTTACAATAGATACAAATGCAGGAGTTTCTCCAGAAACACATAGAACATCTGAGGCAACTGCTACAGAGGAAGTATTAATTGAAGCCATGGACTCATATAATAATGATAGTACAGCATTGTTACAAAGGCAAACCAAAGTGAACACTACAGAGGAAGCAAATGTACCAACATCGACGGGTACTGATACTGTAGAATGTTCAGTTGAAAACCTTTCAACAAATAATGCAATTGAAATTAGCATAAGACTTATATTTATAAATGATGATCAAAAAGTAGTCACTGGTAGCCTCAAAGAACTGCTTGGGGACTTTAAAAGGTTGCTACTATCAGAACTCTCTATATATTCTGCGAAATTAATCGGAATGCAAGTATTATGAAGCCTCATATTTTTACAGGAGACATTTTCAAATTGAACTCGAAGCACATAAATTGGTGCGATTAATTTTTAAAGGTCGGGTATTGCAACCTGACAGTCAAACGTTGGAACAATGTGGATTGCACAATAATTGTGTAGTTCACTGTCTAGTACACCAGCCTCGACCAAGCCCTGCATCACCTCAAACTTCGACATTGAATAATTCATCATCACTTTACTTTAATCCTCAGTCATTTTCGGATATACCTGCTGGCACAGGTATCAGTTCAGTACATAATGAGTGGAATTTGAGTAGACTGTTAGTGAGCATTTTGACTCTTATGTTATGTTTAGCATGGTATTCTAGATACCACTATGCTCAACTTTTTACCGCAACTACTACGCTTGCATTGTACGCGCTCACTGCAATTTTCACGGTTTCTTTGTTCAGTAACTACTTTCCTGACCAAGACAACATCAGAAATATGGAATAAATTTGAATTAGATATGTTGAGAAGCACTTTAAGACATAATTTTTGTAACATTAACGGTACCATCATTTGAACGCATATGTTATAATATTGCGAAGAGCATGATGGTCTATTGTGATTTTTTATCAATTGTTCAAATTAACTCATTTGAGTAAGAGATGAAATATACCCTATAGTTAGTACGGTCGCATTTCAGACTAAATGAATTTGTATGTATTATGTTCAAAATTAACTTACATATTTAGAGAAAGTTTCCCTGTGTTAACATAAAAGTATAATCTATCATGGAAACGTATATTGTGACGTTAAATTTGTATCAAAGAATACTTTAGTAAGTACCTAGCTGATATATTTGTTCATTTAAACATATTTGTGAAATTACTCTGATGAATATTATTTGATTGTTGAATTAGTTGTATAATAAATATTATGTACTGTGGTTACAATGGTGCTGTATTATATTACTTTCGAGGAAGCGTTTGTTATAGATTTGTATGTTTGTAATTTCTTTATTAGATTTGAAAGTTCTATCGTGCATGCGTGACTTAAATCTGAATAAGATATGTACGATTATTAATTATAGGTTGCAGTTACCATTAGAGTAAAACATATTTAATTTCAATACAAGAAAGTTATAAACTTTAAAACTTGCAATCCTATAATATGGAAGTTACATGTGAAGATATATACTGTTTTTAAGCACCATTATATTCATTGTTACTGAAAAATAATTAAAAAAGTGTGTATATAAATGATTCGCAATATATTAAAATATTAACGATTGTAGCTTACTGTGAGATACACTTCATGTTACTTACAAAAAATTAATTTCAGTACTATTTCTAAAAAACTGTATCGACGAGAAAAGTGATTTGTAACTGACGAATTTGAACTCAGGCTTTATTGCCTCTTGTACTACATTGTACCATAGTAGTTCCTAGGAAAATTTAATTACAGAATATTATTACAATTGTTTTATTGAATGTGAATAAATTTCTATACGATATTCTGTTGCATTAATACATATTTTGTCGATAAATTGAAATGATGTAAATAAAAATTCGTTTTCCATGAGTTGAAAAAATTAAAGAGTATATGTCCAACGGTATAAAAATGTAGAAACTGTATAGTGTATAGTAATTTATTATCTTTTCATTTTAGTACATGTTTACAATTATATACTGTTCTTCTGTAGGAAACAATTATCAATTTACAAAGTTTTTTCATTAAAATAAATAAGTCATTTCTAGACAAAGTTAGCGACAAATTGAAGTTCATGCTTAAATACACAACACATACTCATAGTGTACCTAATATAACTTCAATCTGGATTTCGATGAAGTTATCAAACTTTGAATAATATTTTGGGCAAATAAATAAAAATTAAAACTCATTTTCTATACAAAAGTTAACTTAATTGCAATGTCTTACCATGTAAATGACTTAACATTGTAGGTAAAGATTCTGAAAAATCTACTTTATCAAAGAAAAGGTGTAATCGTTGTTTCAACATTACATGATTTAAACTAAAGTTTTCTCTTGGATTTTCTAAAAAAATAGTACATTTTTCTACCCCGCCGTTGATATTAACAAATTTACAAGCTGGATGATTCAATGTTGTAGATGATTGATTCACAGATAAAGCAGCTTTTGTTATTTTTATAGTTTTTTGATGTAATAATGAAATGTCAGTTATTTTCGACACTAACTTATTATCAATATACATATCATAATGACAACCATAAATACCAAATATTAATTCAATCTCTCGTTTCAATCGTTCATATGAAATAGGAACTAATGATTTTGGAGCTTCTAATAAAACAGTACCAATAGTGCTGGTAGCTCCAAATCTTGGTTTTATATCTACAATTTCAACGTTAACATATTTCAAAAATGGTTCCACATTTGTTTTGTTATTTTCAACGTAATCTTCATTCTTTATTAAAACCAAGTTCATGTCCACTCCCTTAATCTTCTGCATCTCTTCTATAATTACACTTGCATTGTTTGGAATCTTGGACATGTCTTCTTGAGGTGTTTTAGTTGAACATTCAATAAACTCTTTGTGGTTAACAATTACTTTGGCTAAATTACTAGTTTTGTCCCGAATTTCATAGTATGCAATCGCGTTATCCGATGGAATCAACTGTGCTTTCTTTCTTAGTTTTTGAACCCTATTAATTACTTCCCTTGCTATTCCTTCATTATGCATACTTTCATCAGGTGTAACATCCAGGAGTATTAAAATATTTCCTTCACTATGGGCTTCATATTGCTCAGATAACTGTTCAGCTGCTGGTCCAGTGAAACTAAACATCAAACGTAAATCTTGTTCTTCCAATTTATGACCTTGCACAATAATTTCTTTTGTTGTAACAAATGTTTGCAATTGTTCATTGGAAAGTTCTTTAATAGCTTGAGTAACAGACTTAAATTCTCCCTTAAGACGTGCTCCAAGTACTTTATGATCTGGTTCTGCTCTCAATGTAACACCATACTTCTGCTTGTCTGTGGTAACTGTTAACTCTTTTACATTAAGTTCCTCAAGAATATATGACTTCAAGGAGACTATTTCCTTTAGTACTTCAGCATCTTGGTGAATTACCACAACTTCTGGCAATGGGTATTTAGTAGGCATTGTTTTCCTATCTCTTACAACACGGCCCAATTCAATTACCGCTTGCATATATGATACAGCTTTTTCAATACTTTCATCAATTAATTGTGAATGGGATTCAGGTACCATCTGGTAATGAACGCTGTCCATATTTCGTTTGGATGGTGGAAGTAGTTTCACCAAACGTTGGAACATAAATTCTGTCAAGAACGGTGTAAATGGAGCATTTATGCATACCATGGTATAAAGAACAGAAAATAAAGTATTTAATGCTTGTCGACAATCGGTTACATCACCATCACCTTTGATACGTTTTCTATTCATTCTTACATACCAATTAGTAAGATGATCTATATATTTTACCAAGTGAGGTACTACAGTGTATAATTTATAAGCTTTCATTTCTCGTTTAACAAACTGTAATAATGTTTGAGTGAAAGATAGAATCCATCTATCCATTATATTATTAGAACATAAATCTTTAGCATCATCATACACGAAAGCAATTTTCTCTTCTCTTTCAAATCTCTCAATATTTTGCATTAAGAATCTGAATGCATTGTACCAAGGTAAGAACACATCTTTTATGACATCCCTAACCCCTTCTTCCTTGAAACGTAAATTTTCAGCTCTTACAACAGGTGAATTAATTAGGTACAAGCGAAGCGCATCTGCTCCATATTTGTTAACAATTTCTATAGGGTCTGGATAATTCTTCTTGCGTTTCGACATTTTCTGTCCATCAGATGCTAGTATTAAGCCATTAGCGACAAGACTTTTAAATGGAGCTCTTCCAAAAAGAGCAGTTGATATAACTAGCAGAGTATAAAACCATCCACGAGTTTGATCAATACCTTCTCCAATAAAATCAGCTGGAAAACTCTCCTCGAAGTCTTTTTTGTGTTCGAACGGATAGTGCATCTGTGCATATGGCATAGAACCAGATTCAAACCAGCAGTCAAAGACTTCAGGTACACGCTTTAAAGGTGGATATCCCAGTCGACTTGAAGGAATAGTTAAATGGTCTATACTTTCCCTATGAATGTCTGTTATCTTAGTATTTGTTAATTCTTCTAATTCTGCAATACTTCCTACACATACGACTTCCTGTCCATCTTCTGAAATCCATAAGGGAATCGGATTACCCCAGTAACGGTTTCTACTGATAGCCCAATCACGGGCATCTCGCAGCCAGTTACCAAACCTTTTTTCTTTAACATAATCTGGTACCCAATATGTAGTGCTGTTTGCTGTAATAAGCTTATCCTTTATGGCTTCTACTCTAATGAACCACGATGGTACAGCTTTGTAAATTAATGGGGTATCAGATCTCCAACAATATGGATAACTATGTTTAGTGGTACCACAATGAACTAATCTCTTATTTACTTGAAGGTACTTAATAATTTCTTTATCAGCATCTTTTACATATTTCCCAAGAAAATCATGAACTGGTTCCACAAAACGTCCACAGCTATCAATAGGACATATAATCTCTTGATCTCTGGTTATAACACCAGCTGCCAAACAACAACGATAATCATCTTCACCAAAATAAGGAGCTTGGTGAACAATGCCTGTACCAGTTTCTGCAGTAACATAGGTATCATTTAGTACTACAAAAGCACCTTTCTCTTTTAAATTTTGGAAATATGGAAATACAGGTACATATGCTTTTCCCTTTAACTCGGACCCTGTTCTTTTACCTTGTATGGAATATAGATCTTTGGATTTATATACAAGTTCTAGACTTGATTCTAATATAATATAGACATTACCAGAAGCATGATCTTGAACCTCCACATATTCAAAATTAGGATTACAACAAAGTGCCATGTTACTAGGTAAAGTCCAAGGAGTAGTGGTCCAAGCAAGAATGGAAATGCCAGGCTCATCCACTAAAGGAAATGATATGACTATAGAAGGGTCAACAACATTTTTGTAGTTCTGTCCTGATTCAAAGTTGGACAACGGTGTATTACAACCAGTAGAAAAAGGCATTACTTTAACACCCTGATACACAAGACCCTTATTATACAGCTCTTTGAATATCCACCATATTGATTCCATGTACCAAGGATACAATGTTTTATAATCATTTTTGAAATCTATCCATCTGCCGATTCTGCTTACAATCATTTCCCATTCCATTGCGTACCTCGTTACAATATTTCTACATTCCTTATTATAATTTGCAATCCCCATTTTCGCGACATCGTCAGGTCCTTTTATGTCCAAAGCTTTATCTATTTCAAACTCAACAGGCAAACCATGAGTATCCCAACCGAATCTCCTTTCCACGTGATAACCAGATTGATGAGCATATCTCGTTAAAATGTCTTTTATTGTACCGGCTAGTATATGTCCGTAATGGGGCAGCCCGGTAGCAAAAGGTGGACCATCGTAGAACGAGTATTTTGGTTTCCCCTTGGATTGTTTCAAGCAATTTTGAAAAGCACCCAGCTTTTTCCACAATTCCAAAATCACTTCTTCTTCCTTCGGGAAGTTAATTGTTTCTGGCAACTTTTCTATCATTCTTAAAGATCTTTCGACAAGTACTTCGCGAACTATCTGGTACCGGCTGGTACTGATGCAACTACCAAATTTAAGGTATCATGTGTATGAAGACACGTTATTGAAGCACACGTAATACACTCTCAAATAGGTTAGCGCCACAAGGCACAACACGTGTAACAGAAAGGTGAGTGCTGTATTTAGGTTGAGAACCTCATCTTGTAAGCTCAATCCTAGGTACAAATAAATCTTTTCGTTTGAGCAGAATATATATGATAACCCATTTAACAATGGTCCCACAACTTTCCTCTCTATTTACTTGCGATAATTTGACACAAAAACGCTGTTTACAATAATTTTTTAGCATATGTTACATTCAGTTTTTTAAATGTAGCCATACGATTTTTTGTATAATACACTCCGCAAAAAAATTAAGGGATTATCTCTACGAACTTGAAAAATGGGGCCGAGTTCAATTGGTCGTATCGATATTATTAAAAAATCGTTTGAAAGTGTCGAATCTCTACTTTCAGGTGCTTTTTCAACATTTTAGCTGCGTTGTTTTTTGGGTACGTTCTTAAGGTCATTTTGAAACGCAGGGTCTGCTGCTTCGTTTATGTTGCAGACGAACCTGCTGAGTGCGCTGAGATAGTTTTTTACCTATGGCCACTATGTTTAAAGCAAAAAAACCAGAAAGTGGGTCGCGTTACGCCGACCGACGAGATATGTTATATGTATACCTCCACGCAGTATGGCTTGGGTCACGGGGGTCAGCTTGGGTAACACCAAAGAGGATAGGATAGAGTCTCTAGTCTACGCAAGATAAGAACCCTAAATAGATCTCTACAAATTTCGCCAAGTTAATGGTTTGGAGGCGCTACCCTTGGCAACTTTTAAGGGACGGGACTCAATCTCGATTAGTATAGCAATGTAACACTTTTATTTATAATAAAATAAAAAATTATTCGAAGTGTAACCTCATTAGAAAACTTCGAACAGAAAGTTATTCTTTTATTACTCTAAATATTTTTCTATATTGTGAAAATATCGAATTTTTAAGGTAAATTATTTTAAATGGCACACACTATATTCTGTTAAGAATATCATAATTAGTTATGTAATTCGATTCACCTACAAACTCTTTTATTTCTGTTTTGTACAGGTTGTAAATAAAACTTAGTATAAATATAAAGGGTGTCATAAAGGATGGGACAATCCGCACACGGATATTCCTTATACAAATACAAATCAAAAAGTCCATTACCGTTTTGTAATCTGAAGCTCCATTTTCGAGATGTTAACAGTTAAACGACTTAGCAGTTAACGATCAGCTGAGCGGTGGGCCACACGTACGCGTCGATGCAGTTAAGAAGCAGAGGCCAGTGACTTGGGTCGTGCGCTTCTTAACTGTGTCTGCGCGTACGTGTGAGTTTATTTAACTGCTAATATCTCGGAAACGAAGATTCTGATTACAAAAAGGTAAAGGACTTTTGATTTGTATTTGCACAAGGAATATCTATGTTGCGGATTGTCCCATCTTTTTGGAACACCTTGTATATAAAATTATAGAATAAATACTTTAATGAAATAAACTATTCAATGAAATGTACATATTACTGTTGATTTGGTGCAGTTTCATTTAAATTATTTTTATATTATTGTATCCGTTTTTAAAAAAATACTATTTTCGGGAGTTAAGAATGCCTTGTTTGTAAACAAAAAATAAAAACTGTACACGTTATAAAACATAAACATATTCGTGACTAGAAGTTTCACTACATATAGCACTTTAGGTTACGTATATATACATGAATTATTTACGACTGCTGCGTAACCTGTTGTATCCTTTGCCGTTGTCCACCTATGTAAATAATTTGTCTTTGTTCGTCAGGATGAATAAGTTCTTCCGTATGTTTCCATCGCCACTTCTTTTCACTTTCTTTCACACGTCTGTGGTCGATATAACTGATAACGCAACTTGTCGGAATCCACACGATGGCAGTGATAATAATGACAGCCCCTACTATATTATCTTTCAAAAACCGCATGACCTTATTAATATTTATGTCTTCAATAATGTCCCAGAATCTTTCTACCACATCTTGAATTGTTTTCTCACAAATACCCTAGGAATATTCTTCCATTTATACGGTTGTATTGAAAAGTTATAATAATATTTCTTTAAGCAATATTACCTTATTGCAAAAGCCTTGAATACAAGGAGTTCCATCAGGCAAAATGTCCTGTGGATCTATGGGGAAACATGTTTCATTCAAGCTCATTCTACAGCATCTTTTACATGCATCTCCAACTGCAAATAACAATTTCATATGAGAACCTATAGTTTTGATTATACATACTATATAAATTTATGACAACAGATAATAAGCATACTTGTATCACACATGCAACTTTGGAGACCTTGCGTCTCACAATATGGCACACATTTTCCAAGTCTACATTGACCTCTTTCAAGGCAACCTGTACCATCTTTCATAGGTGGAGATCTAGGACATTCACTGGACGCTCCTGTGCAACGTGATTCTTGTTCACAAGTGGCGTACTGTGCATCCCTGCATTTTACACCTAGTGGCATGAACGCACAGCCTTGACAACAGGGCGAATTTTTGTCACTGGAAAATATTGTGTTAACCAGCATTTAAAAACAATCAATAACGTGATAGTACACTGTTACATACAAATAGATAATTACCTACAAACCGCCCCTTGACTTCTTCGAAGTTTGCAATTTTTATCGCAGCAAGCATCGTTATCTTCTGTTCCGAGTAATCCTGCATCGCATTCCTCGTCTCCTTCAACACGTAGATTACCACAAAACGATTCTTCCGGTTCGGAGAAACAACGACCCGATTTAGCTTGTAGAACTTTTCTGATGGATCTTAAACTACAGGGTGAAAAACGCTGAACCATGTATAATTAATAAGTACTTTCTTAGTTCGCGTATTATATTACTCCTATGAAAATCGAATTTACCTTATTATTCACATCGTATCCACTGACACTATATGTGTACATTAAGTAAGAGCCTCCTTGACTAGCACTTGGACTACATTCCTATTAAAATAATCCACCACGTGAAAATACTAAATATAACGTCTATTTTAAACTACTTAATAAATAATTATAAGAAACATTTACTGTTATATCTGGATCATGTTCAGAACCCCAATTGTGCCCAAATTCATGTGCAGTGACTAAGTCAGCTTCCCTCGTAATCACCCTTTGCCCGTAATGATTCCTACTAGAACTCAGTCCAGAATTCAGGTACAGCGTATAGCCATTCTTGAAATACTCTGTAAAAGTATTAAATGAAGTTTGTTTCGATATTGACGAATAAAACGTTCATAAGTAAAAGATGTTTACTGATATACCTGGTGTACAGATTCCACCCACAGAATTTCTTCGAGGTGATCCTACATATGCTAATCCTAATATACCACCTTCAAACTTTAAGTCAGTGAATAAATGAGCTAAGCAAAAATCCTTGTGACTATACTCACGACTGAATACCTAAATGCAGTTTAGATTTGCCTCAAATTTAAGTATTTTATATTAATGATAAAAAATGTAATTGTACCTCTAGTAATGTGCGCACATCCCACTTTTCTCTGACCATGTTATAATGTGTTTCACCGCCCCTTACGCGAGTTGGCTCGCTGTGAACCACTATTTTCTTAATAACAAAACCCATCCCTTTAAATCCATCTTGTTCCTGCCGTTCTTTCCACAAAGTATCATTATAAATTTTATGCACTCTATCAATTAAGCTTATCTACAAACCATAAAGAAAGATTTTGAGAAATAAGATAAAACAAGGGATTCCTATATTTTTTTGATGTAATTTTGTTACCAAATAATTAATTGTTGTTTTTGTACTGCTAGCACCCATTTCTTGGTAGAAACGATAATCAGCAACTAATAATAAAGGGCATCTTGTTTTTGTTGGTGTATATTCATAAGTCTCTGTTTGCCTTTTCGTTCTGGAATGTCTGTCTTCTATAAGATCATACTCAGAAGAGACTTTAGTCTCTCCTAGATCATTTATTGGAATGTCTGTAACATACATAGATATTATGTAAAAGTAAAATATTATTTAATACAAGAATGTATGTGAGGTAGTAACTGACCTAATTCTTCCTTAACATATCCACATGTTTTAGGAGCACCATGAGTATGTCCTTCCCCATTTTGAATATGTTCCCAACTAAATTTAACATCTGATGATTTATACAGTATCATTGTTTCATTCCCTAAATGAGGCAAGTGCCTCCAAGATGGCTGAAACATAAAATGTTTATAATTATTATGAAAATGATAATCCACTATTACTATTATTTAACTAAGAAGTAATAGGAGCAGTACCTCGATGTGAAATGTTTCATCAGAAATCGTAATACTGGCTGTAAGAATTCCATTATCAATGTGTACTTGTGCATGAGAATCAATTTCGCCAAATACACGTCCATGATAAAAATTCTCATGATCTAAAATATTTAAATAGATTTGGTAATAAAGAAAAAATATGCATTTTGTAAACTCGTATGTAATTATAGTATTTTACCTAAATGTACAGTTTTTTCTTTTCCATCTCCATTGACTTCATATGCTTTGAATTTAGAATGAATAACTTCTTTTCTTGGTGTTAAAATTAGTCGAAAATATCTTCACAGAAAGAAGAATATATAGGTTGATTTTCCCAACCCCAGGAGAAATTTGATTGAAATAGCAATTTTCTTATAATAAATAATCTTACCGTCCATGAGAATAAAATTCTAATTCACTGATTTTATTATAAGGATGATAACTATGCTGGATACCTCGCTTCACAATTTTATGTTGAACATGAGATGAATGAAGAGTTTCATAATATTTTAAATTTTGATGAAGACCATCTAGAATAACAATTTGCAAATTAACATTAATTGAATGGTAGAATAATACAAAATGATAGATTTGGTAGGATAAACTTACAACTGCTGTGTATAGTACAAAATATGCAGCATATTAAAAATCTAATTTGAATTTCCATGTCTGAACACGAACGTCTTATGCTACTATGTTTAGTATCATATTTCGAAAATTATGCTTCGTATTATATGGACAAACATATTTTATTCCTTTTTTTGTAACCTCGGATACGGTCGCCAAACAAATTACTCATTGTCAGTCAAACACACCTTTCCCTAAACATAGTATACAAATACATAGATGCTACTTCCTTTTAAGACAGGTGGTCCCAGGTGGTCCTTTAAGGCCAGTGCAGGCTAGTGGTGATCAAAGAGGATAGGATCAGATAGGATGCTATAGGATGATATATGCAAGCTTTGCTATAACACCCATATACACAACAATTAATATATCTTACTTTTGGTTTCTTTTTGTAAATTGAATGCCCGATGTATCGTTCATTTTTTTATCAAATATTTAGCATATCTAGCGTAGTAAAACAAAAAAGGGAACTGACTCTGTATATGTTACATGGAGCAGTTGATACGATTTGACTGCTTTTAATTTTCGCCACTAGATCGTATAGCGTAAATGAGCAGATTCCAATTGGAATCTTTCATACTTTTGTACTGTTTTATACTTATTTCGTCTGTGGTTATCATACATAAAATTCGCAAAATAATTACATTTCTCGCAATTGCTATTTGTATCAGCAGCGCTATCTGCATTATTGCATTCTTCGTGGCAATGTGCATGAACCAATCGATTCGAAATATTTTACGGATGCTGCATTTAGAAGTCAATTTTAGATTTTCTGGAACATGCTAGAAGTTTTCGGCTTGCAACAACAGAAACGTCGTTGCAGTCACTAGTGTCAGTTGGTGTCAGTAGTTACCAGTAGTTACTTGTCGCTGACAATCGGTGTCAAGTTCCTTCGTAAACTTGACGTATTCGTGTATTCATACACAACGTGGTTTGACCAAACAAGTTCAAATAAAGTTCAAAATGTCGCAAGAAGCAACATTGTTGCTTTGCTACAACCGTGGTTGTTTGAAGAAGTTCGATCCTAACGATAACAAGGAAGGTTCGTTATTCAATTTCATGTCAAAGTAACTTTCAGAAACATTGATTTAAACAATGACAAAAAAAACTCTATTCTTCGTTACACAATTATGTATTAAGTTTTCGAGTATTATAAGTTGTATTTGTTTGGGAAAAATTCCAGTGTTTTGTCAACATTACAACTTCCTTCCAATGACATTAACATTGTGTAATGAATTTTGTGATTGATCTATCATGTGTCAAGATTTACTATTAACCCTTTCATTGTTGTTGATGCTTGTGGCAAACAAATTTTTTTCTATAATGTTTGACAAAAATGTTGAAAGATATTGTCAAAATGACATAATTAATTCAGTCTTAAATGTTTCAAGTTTTGCTTCTTGAATGCTTTAACTTTCTTTATGATTATATTTTCAGACGACTGTGTTCATCACCCTGGTCATCCAGTATTTCATGATGCTTATAAAGGCTGGTCTTGTTGTAATAAAAAATGTATAGACTTTACAGAGTTTTTAAACATTAAGGGTTGTACAAAATCATGTCATTCGAACATAAAGCCACCAGAGCCAAAGAAACCTGCAGTTGATAAGTCTAAGGCTAATGAAATAATAGAAATTACTGTTAAACCTCTTAATAATGGACCTATGTTAAAAAGACCTCCCTTCAACACTCCACAAATTACCTTAACACCAACCATATCACCTACATTATTGGAACAAATTAAAGGATTAAAAGCTTTGGAACTAGAAAGTGAATCAGAGACTGAAGTTAAAATTGGACAGAGTTGTAGAAACAGTGCATGTGAAGCTACATATAATGGTCCTGAATCTAACAATGAAGTCTGTAATCATCATCCTGGTGCTCCTATATTTCATGAAGGGATGAAATATTGGTCTTGTTGTCAAAAGAAAACCACAGACTTCTCTACATTCTTGAAACAACCAGGATGTACGCAAGGGAAACATACATGGATTTCTAAGGTAACAAAGCAATTTGTGAATCTATATTACAAAGCAAATAAATTGTACCATATAAAACTTGACTATTTTTCAGGATGCTGGTAAGAAGAAAGAATGCAGATTGGATTGGCATCAAACAGGGACATTCATTGTAGTTTCGATTTTTGCTAAGAAATACGTACCAGATTTTTCCACAGTTAAATTGAATCCTATACGTTTATCTGTGGATTTATCGTTCGCGGAGGATAATTCAAGATACTCATGTGACTTAGAATTAAAAGGAGTATGCATTTAAAATCTCAGATTCTTAAATACTTTTTCAAGAAGCTGTATCTAAAACTTTATGCTTGCAGGTTGTTGATATTGCACAAAGTAGTGTTGCGATGTTGCCTACTAAAGTAGAAATCAAATTAAAAAAGGCTGAACCTGGCTCATGGGCGAAACTGTGTTTCCCCAGAGAAGATAAAACGGAAACTGAAGAAAATAGTCGTAATGATGAAATCATTACTGCACAAGTGGATGCTGTTGATCTCAATGATCTTTGAACATTCATGTCTGTTTTGTTAAGGATATAATTGTAATTCGTGTAACCATATTATATTTAAGGACGACATTTTAATTTTAAGATGTAAAGAAATATTATTTTCTTAATGTTATCGGAATTACGTTTCCGAGAAAAAGGGAATACCTAGTATTCACATTGTTATTTTCATAGGGACAGATGCCCAGAAAGCCTACCATTAAACTTTAATGTTTCAAATATCTTATCCTTTATTTATGATTTTCCTATAATTAATAAATCGTTTTTCATTTAAACTGTGTTTTATTTTCTACGAACAGAAATTCAATACATGAGAGTAATGTTATACGAATTATTAATTATATTCCCAAATGTGTTCGACGTATAGAGTATAATGTAAACTATGTACATACATGTATATATATGTTATATATATATACGATGTAGACAGTGAAGTTAACCTATTCTCAACTGGCATTTGAAAACTCTTATTTTTAGTATTATTACATTGTATTACATAAATAATATTATTTAACTTATAATTTTGATATTAATAAATAACAGTGTTGTTCCATCATTAATGTTAAAAAATTTTATATGTCGTTCCATTTTTATAACCTTTATTATGATCAGTGTCAAATATAATATCAATTTATAGTATTCATGAATTACATAGTTTTAATTTATTATTTGAAACACTTGTTACGTTAAATATTATGACTACTTCGTTTAAGAAATTACGTGTAAGCAATTGTTAATAATTGTATTTACATATTATACATATACATCATATGTATAATATATATAAAAATTCATATAAATATATATATATATATATGAATGAAAACAATTTCTTTCATATACATGTTCATTTTAGATACTTGCCATTCATGGTTATGCCCAATCAGATATTATTTTCAATACTAAATTGGGATCCTTAAGAAAGGGATTTAAAAAGGAAGTGGATTTTTTGTTTCTACGAGCACCACATCAAGTTCCAATGAAGAGTAATTTTGGTGTTGATGAAGCAGTAGAAGGTATAATCCCATAAATTTTGCTTTTAATTAATAAGACAAGAAGGCATAAGTTTTTATGGAATTACTATTAATAATAAATGTAAATGTTTCAATGTTAAATAATAATTTAAATTCTCTTTCAGGGTACGGATGGTGGTTTAATACAGAAGACAATGTATTTAAAGCAATTGCACCAAGTAATTTATCAGTAGGTTTTGAAGATAGTTTGACTTTAATTGAAAAGACATTTCAAGAGTCTGGTCCATTTGATGGTATTATAGGCTTCTCTCAAGGAGCAGCATTTGTCACTATACTTTGTTATATGCAACAGAAAAAATGTAAGCATGATGTAATAACTATGAATTATTTAAAATAATTGAATTAAACACTATTATTTTGCAGTATTGCAGGCCAAATTTGATTTTGCAATTATTATATCAGGATTTAAGTCACTGTGTGCCCCTCATGCAATATATTACGATGAAAAAATAAGCATACCTTCTTTACATATTTATGGAGGAACTGATCAAGTTATTCCAACAGGTTAGACAGTATTTAATGGTTATGAAAACAAAATTATTACCATGTATGCTGTTGTATTTTTCAGAAATGGCAGAGGAAGTTAGTGAACTGTTTACAAATAAAAAGAAAATAAAACATGAAGGTGGTCACTATATACCAAGTAAAAAGGAGTTTTATAGAGAATTTATTATGGAAATGTTATTACACAAAAACAAAAATAACTAATAGTGTTTACTTATTATATCAAGTAACACCAAAAGATTGAAACAATATGTAAATGTAGCAAGAGCAGATGTTTTTGTGGATTGTAAAAAATAATAACTATTGAGCAATATTAATAAATTCATTTATATTAGAAAATTTATCCATGTCAACTATAAATAAACATACAATATGCACTAGCAGTGAAATTTATTAACAGCGTATATTTAGACTTTTATATGGCAACCAAACTGAGAACATGAATGCAATAAATTAAAATGAATATACAAAATAACATAGAACCGTTTCCCACTTTACACTGAACCCTGTATTATTAAGAATAAAAGGCATTACTAATTTTAAATTTTCAAGTCTCCAAAACTAAGACTAAGTATAAAGATTAAAAGTGTACTGAATCGTGCCTTTCCTGTTCAACGAAGTAGTGTATGGTAGTTGCTTAGATTACATTATTCACGTCATGCATATTTTCATACACAGTATACTTTTCCACATTGTTATTACGCATCGAATGCTTAAATAAAAATTAACTGTTTTGGTTTGTATACTGTAATTAACCATAACTTTTAGACTTAAGATATGTAGATTTATTATATAATCTACTATTACAGTAGGATATAAACGTTATTGGCATTATGTTCTTAAAATGTCCTTAGTTATTCTTACAATATTGAACTTTCTTCAATCAATTCTACAATATTTCATTCAGATGTACACATTCAATTCGTTTGGATTTAAGTTGTTTTCAGTCCAGTTCTGGCCTAATTTGTTACATATTTCATTATTTGTTATGAGACTGTAACAAGTTTTGGAAGATACTATATATTAAAAGTTGCATGAATTCTGCATTCATTATTCTACATAGTAGAGATATTGATCACACTCTTCATATAAGCAGATGAGAGAATATGCAATTAAAGTCCTTAAGAAAATATAATATAATAAAGATACAATTCATAGAAATATTATATTTTATACTCAAAATGATAATTTGTTTGTTGGATAATAAAATGTAATCAATGTATTCAAATTACATACACTATATATAATGTATCACATTTTTAAATTTCTACTTCAAAGTTGTAAAAACTAATATTGAATGTTTTTAGAATCCGTAATACTTCAATTTTGCAAATTAAGTAATAAATGTTGTTGTACATACTTTGCAAAATTTAAGGCATTCTCTTGTCTCCCATATTTCATAATAAAATTGGAGTTTGTAACTAAACAAAGTATAATCAAATAAGAGATAAATAGTTTGAAAGTATTACAAAATGCTGTAGATGTAGCTATAATAAAGTTTAAGTTCTAATATTCACATTACATTTACTTAAGCTGTCAGCCTTCATTGAGTTTCTGACAATTGTAAAATTATATTGTATATAACACCTGACCATCATCTGATTCATGGGTTAATATTGTTACAAGCGATCTGTTCAAAGCCATTGGTTTCTTGAAATTTCATCACATCTGGTAGATCAGGTGGTAACGAAAATGGAGTCATCTCTAAGGGTTCAAACTGACCATTTTCTTGGCGCATAGCTAATCCTACTAATGCAGGACACTGTGGTTTCGCTGTTGTAGATGTTAATCCATATGCAGACAAAACTGAACTATCCGACATTACAACATTATCCACATTGAACAACTGTTGATTTGCAGGTGGTATTTTTAATATACCTACGGATAATCACATTTATCTGTCACTTACTATAATTTGTACCTTATAAATATTCACTTTATATAATAAAACACTTGTAAAACAGGAAGAAGTCTTGAATTGTCATACTTCGTTTTTTTCACTTGTACGAACACAAAATAAACGTTCTTTACCTTCTATGATTTTTTTAAGCTCGAGAACCGGAGTATTATCCTTCGCATCCGTAAATATCGTCATATTTTTTCGTCGAATCATAAGAAACACATCCTATAAAGAAGATTTTGATAGTTTTTGAGGTTATATTGTTTTGAAATAAATCTGACAAATACCATAAGAAATAATAGGATATGAAGAAAAATTTACCATCATGTATGTAACTATATAGTTAACAGTGACGAGGATAACTAGTACACACTTTCAGGAGTACTGTTTTGAATGTTATTTTGTTGCTAATCGTTAGGTTAAAGGCGAAAAGTTAAAAAGAGGGAAACGACATTCACTGACATCATTGCATCATGGCCACATAAAACAGACCTCACAATTGGTTCTTCTTTTCAAACGTAAACTATGTTTGGCGTATTATTTGTTTCCTCGACCAATTACGTACTGATTTTATATTTCATGAAAAATATTATGATTCCTTAAATTGGAGATGATAATTATTCAAGTACTACTTAGTAGTTTATACCTACATACATTTGTGTCTGAAATTGATAAATTATGGATAGATATAGTAACACACACTACGCGACAAATGTATTTGAATAGTAGTGACAAATAACTAGCTTTTTCAGCACAATACAACTTTAAACACGCTTCTCATGTTGTAAAAGTTTGGCAAACACATATTTAGTAATCTCAAAAAGGAGATCTCCTCTTTGGTAATCTTTTATATTTAAATGACCATCGATCGCAAACTACAGATCCTCTAGGGGAAAAAGTAGCATGAGAGTAAGGATATACTACCACTTGGTAAATATAATTCAAGTACTGAAATAAATGTTAAAATGAATGTTAATTTGGCATAAATTTCAGTAATTCCCAATTCAAGAGGTAGAAGCATAGTAGGAGCACCGACTAGGTATAGAATAGACCTATCATCCAATGCTCTTTTTTGTCCCACGTTCGGAGGGCTATGTAATACTGATGAAATATGATAACTTATTCTAAATTTCATCGTTAATTAACATTTTAGTAATGTTACGTTTCCCACGTTCCCTTTTTATTCGTTTTTATATTTTTTTATCTGATAATTGGTGAGGAAGTAATTAAACAATGAACTTCGACCCAACTAGAGCTTAGCTAGTCAAGCT